ATGGGTGCTGCATTACCCAACGGATCCATAATTCCAGTTACCAATTTACTCGGGATGAAGCATTATGCAGGTATGCACTACTACAGTCAACACAAAAAGGCTTCTAGGCATCGAGAGCATTTCATTTCTATTCGTTACACATGGAGACTGACGAGGAAATATAGCCAACTGTCTTGCGCCTTTTCAAGTTGGATCAGTGACATCTGCATGCATGTAGAAGTCGAAATTGAGGGTACGGGGTGGGATGTAGCCCACAAGAGCAGTCATCTTTAACTTCAAGATGATACATAATAATCAGTTAGTGAAAATAGCCAATAATCAATTAGTTACTAGTTTAAAAGTTTAAAACTCGAATATCTGAATCGAATTAACGATTTCTACACTACTCATGATTGCCTGGTAAATTTCGTCTTTTAGTGCAATTTTCACACAGTCAGCAGTGTCAGAGCGGACTAATATTGAATTACTATACGAAAGAAACTGGCGAAGTAGTCAATGTATTAACTCCAGATGGTCAGGATTGTTTTTTTGCTGGGAAACTGGCCTTTGTTGAGTCAGTTATTCAACAAACAGTGAAGGTGGCCCGATATTTAACTTGGTTTTTAAGCGGTCGAGTTCGCTACTGTCTTCGCGCAACTATGGGTCTGACAGAGACGGATAACAAAGAGGGTCAGAGTGTGAAGATAGTTGAACGAGCATTCGATGAAAACAAGAATGTTCTGCATTCTGCTCAATTAGGTGAGTATAATTCAGCTGTTTCAATTTCTAGTTTGACTTTTGTGACATCTAGAATTGTTTTTCGTTTGCCACAGGTCCATTCACGGAGATTAGGACGGAAAAACAATGTTGGCCAGTGCCGATTGGAGCGACGAGCTTTACAGTTGAGCTTATCTTTCGTAATGAGTTGGCTGTCAATATCATCGACAACAGAAGTGAACTATTCCACAGTCAAACTTTCGGCCTAATCAAAGACGTGTTCTTAACCACCGAGTGATAAGATCCTAAAAAATGATCGACCGATTCTGAAATTAATATTCGTTCGGTATCTAATAAAAGCAGTGAAACAATGAAAACAAGACCGTTTTCGTCTTTTTAATAATGGTAACTCGACATATTTCGCAAATTACACGGTTGGAAATAATATTATTCCAGGGGGGTAACGATACTATTTCAAACACCCATTCTAATGAATTTTATACCAAATGAAAGCCCGTCAAAAACGGGATTTATTCATATAAAACAGAGTGTGTCAATCGTATTTTTTAGTGTCCAACTTCAACTAGTTTTGAAAATTTTACACTTTTCCGAGTAAAAAAAACCATATACCAATACTGTCAACATAAAATAAGTAAGTGCTCATACATGTTATTACACAGTTTGAAAGAGCTCGTCGAGTTCTACAAAGTAGAGTATGTCAATGAGTTTAAAAACCTGTATGGGGAAACAACAAAGTTCCAGAAACTAGTTCGGAAATCGTGAGAAATGTTAAGAACTATATTTCTTTCATGTGAATGACAAAAGTGCACTTTCTAGTAGAGCCAACTTCTTTTCATCAGTTCTATAGTCACAGATATTTCTAAACATGCTCATCAGATGCAGCTTTTTCTGTTGCACCTGAGAATTGCATCGAAAAAATCTTTGACTGTAAAACTGATGAAAAAAAGTCAACTCTACTAGAAAGTGTACCTTTGTCATTCACATGAAAGAAATACAGTTCTGAACATTTCGCACGATTTCCGAACTAGTTTCTGGAACTTTTTTGTTTCCCCATACAGGTTTTTAAACTCATTGACATACTCTACTTTGTAGAGCTCGACGAGCTCTTTCAAACTGTGTAATAACATGTATGAGCACTTACTTATTTTATGTTGACAGTATTTGTACAGGGTCGGAAAGAATATTATTCAAGGGGGGTAACGATATAATCCCGAGTCGGAGGTATGATGAATTTTATACCAAATGAAAGCCCATGAAAAACGGGGTTTAGTGATGCT